ATGCAGCACTAGTTTAAACTCTGACATTTGAAGCCTGTAATGTGCTTTATTATGTATGTTTTAGTGTTTCAGTAAATCCTTCAGTAAATACTTCAACTTGAAGCCTCACTCTGAACACTGGAGGAGGCTTTAGTACAGTACGCTTCACTTTACTTAGAGTGGACAAATACAACTTATGAGCTCTTATAATTTGTTATAATCAATACTTATAATGTATTATGTTAACAATTCACAATGCATAATAAACAGAGCTATAACATATAATGCATTTTTATAAATATTTATAGCTATGTTTATAATGTCTTATGAATGCATTATAACATGTTATGAATGTGTTTATAGATGCTTACAAAGGTGACATTCATAGAAAGTGTTACCGAAAACACTTCTGAAAACGTCCACTAGGTGGAGCCTGAGTTCGCTTTTGCAGCCACTACAGCCATGAATGGCGTTTTAACTTCTATGAAAGAAGTTTGTGGGCCAGTGTTTCCCAGCTGGAAGCCCCCTCAACTGCTCAGTTCTCAGTCACACCATTCACCAATGATCAAAGCTGAATTCCCTGTTACAGCTGGGAAAACATGAAACCACATAAGTAGAATCAAACATATCAAAAATGAGATTATTATATGAGATAACTTACAATACAGACTTTTAAACGTTTCACAGTGGGGCCATTAAAATGACTGGCCTGCTGGAAATATGCCTTTTAAAGATATTATCCAAAGTAAAACAGGTTGATCTTCATTGTGGACTTGGCTGTAAAGAGCAAATAACAGCAGCGCAGAGTAGGCCAGGCTGTGGAAAAAACTTTTCTGCACCTCATAATGTTTTTTTTTTTCTTCCTTTTCATCTCAGTCTGAGAATAACCCTGGGGAAGTTCCCCTTGACTAAACCGAACGAGAAAAAAAGTGTACTGGGTGATTGATGTGAATCATATGTAGGTTCACATCCACTTAAGGCAGCGTGTGGCACATTGCATGAAGCCGAGCAACAATTTAATACATGAGCAAAAGCTCTGAGAACTTAGATTTTGCTACAGGCATGGACGCAGCGACGGCTTTGTAGACATCGTAGACTGAAACTGGATGGTACGTACGTGTGGATTCCTGCACATATTCTTTAAAAGAAAAGCAGAGGTGATGAAGGGAGGGAGGGCTGGGCTGTACGCAGATGTATTCCACAGATTACTGACTGTCTGTGATCTGTAAACTAATCCAAAGGATTACTTTCCACCACATTTGGCTGAACAGATAGAGTTAGATTTCCTGAATAAAAGGCCTCAAACTGCTGCTGGTAAAGGGGGGGTTCTTCAGAATTCTCAGCTGGCAGCAGGACCCTCCCTGAATTCCTCGTAAAATTTAAAAACACTATTAATGTGATATATTTATCATTCAAAACAAATTTGCACATTTACAGTTTAAATGTAATTTTGCTAGTAGTCACCAGTTTTTTAAGTACCTTTAATCTTTTAGTCTTTTTTTCCGGATGTGTAACAGAATGAAGTGTTCTTGGTGCCCTACTACTCAAACCTGGTTGTATCACACTTTACTGTAACTCATTAACTCTGCAAAAGCTGATCTTTTAAAATGGATCTGCATCTGTCACAGCTTTTGGACATGGATGTGATGTTGACAGTACAGTGTGGTGCAGAACTCACGTGTTCTTTGTTCTATGCAAACACAGTGATTCAACTGGATGTGTGGTTTGTGTGATACAGTCTTTTTAACTCTTCTGCACAAACACAAACCTCAAGTTATCTGCGTCTGGTGACTGAGGGAAACCAATATAAACGCTGGTTAAGCACATCTGCCCAAATTTGAGGATGAAGAAATGCTCGAAATGGTCGACCCACGTGACATTTCGCATTTTGGCCACTAAAATAGAGTGTGTGGGCCGAGTGACCGCTTACCTCTGACATTTTTTGTGTTCTTTTTCTCTTTTAAAAAACCTGTTTAGTCAGAGACGGAACTAATTAGACCAATCAGACTTTGTAGCCACAGTGATAGCTAACGTGGTGTTCCCCGCTGCCAAAATGGTCCACCTGGCATAATTGGCTGAAGTTTGCTTAAAATCACTCTGTGAAATAAGGTTTAAATTGAATAAGGTGTTAAAGGGGAATCCCACCGATTTTTCAGAATTTCTGCATAATTAAGTTATTGAGATATAAACAGAAACATTCAGAGTGGTTTGATGTGAAATGGTTAAACTCAGAATCCGAGTCATATTTCCTTACAGCGGTGATGATAGGAACCAGATGTTGTGATGTCTACAACACAAATATAGCCATTTTATTCACTTTACAACATGCTCCAAGGCTTAAAAAGCACCTTTAGTGTCTGACTCAAAGGGGAACTTTACCGATTTCTTTTAAATATTCTGTATAATTCAGTGGCTGAGATTTGAACAAAGTCATTCAGAGTGGGTTGATGTGGAACGGCTCATCTGCATCTGATTAATGGTGATAGGAACCAGGGGTCCAGATGTCTACAACACAAATATAGTCATTTTATTTACTAGCCCAAACCACCAGTGAACCTACACGTGTAATGTTGATAACGGTAAAATAGTGGTAAATCTGATAAAAAAAGGGACTATTTTGCCTAATAACACCCTGCATGTATCCTTCCACAATAACAGTATTAAAAACTATGTAAACATCTAAAACTATCATAAAACAATGTCCCAGGCTTTATGCAATGCATTTATGATCATTTCATGTATTGATTAATCTGAGAGGAAGCTTTTAAAGGTGGACGTCTGGTTCCTATCACCAACACTGTGAACAATTCCGACTCGGCAAGTTTCCCTAGAGCAGAGCATTTCACACCAAACCACTCTGAACGCACTTTGTTTACATTATAACCCTTTAATTATGCAGAAATTTAGAAAAATCTGTGGAATTCCCCTTTAAATAAGCTGATGATACACCGATCACTGCTGTAACTAAACATTATCTTATGAAACAATCTAAATCAGATGACGTCAGAGTGGACCAGCTCTGCAGGAGTGGCCACCACAGTCACCACAAAGGCAATGTTCTTATGTATGTTATGTTTTAAATCAATACTTTCTTTTTTCAAAGCAACACCTGACTGTTTTTGGTTCTGAAGCATGCATGTTAATTATAAACACAATGTTCAAATGATATGATAAACATGTTTCCACTATTCTGTTACAAGCTGCAACCTCTCTTGCCATTTTGGAGTCAGCTACTGGCTGTATTTAAAGGGAAATACCACCGAGTTTTTAAAATTTCTACATAATTCAATCACTGAGGTGTAAACGATATTGTTCGGAGTGGTTTGTTGCAAAATGGTTCATTTTAGAGACTCAGATTTCTTTACAGTGGGGGTGATAGGAACCAGGGGTCACAATGCCTACAATGGCATTTCGTTTATGATCAAAAATGACCAGTGAACTTAAGATTTTTTATATATTATGTTGAAAACAGTAAATTAGTGGGATATTCTGAAAAAAGCACCCTACGTGTACCTCTCCACCATGGATAGATTTAAAAAATATTCATATTTCAGACCAAAACTTTATTGCAAAAATGTCATTCAACAATATTTCTGACATCTGGCAATGTTCTCATAATAAATGTATGCAGCTGCTTGCTGTAAGAGAGCTATAAAAGGCTTCAGACGTCTGGTTCCTATCACCACCACTATAAACAATTCTGTCTCTGTACATCTCTCTTACATAGCACACGTCACATCAAACCTCTCTAACTGATTTTGTTTAGACTGTAACGATTTGTTTTACCCTTTAATATCTGCTGCCTAAAGCACTGTTTTTCTAATCTGGGGACACCCTGCAGGTGTTTCAGGCGTCCTCTGTCCAGGGCACACCTGATCCAGCTCATGAAATGCTTAATAGTTACCTGATGAGCTGGATGAGGTGTGGCAGGGAATAGCTGAAACCGGTCAGGCCAGTGGGCTCCCAGGACTAGAGTCAAAAACTACTGGCCTAAAGTTTCTATTCTTAGTCACTGGAGTGGCCCAGTTACTCATGTGCTAGGAATGCACGTGAGTCAACACACGCTGAAAATTGAATGACAATTGTTTGTAAATAGAGGAATTTTTACCCAAATGAGCAGTTTTCGTACTGACTGGCTGTTTTTTGGTACTTCCATACATCTTCAGCAGAGCATTTGAAAATTACACAGGACTAATCAACATGACGCTGCAGTTTCTCAGCCCCACCTGCTGGGCAAAACCTCCGCCGGGCACTTTACGACATGCTTTAAAGTTTAAAAAGCACCTTCAGTACCTGACCTAAAGGGGAATTCTACCGAATTTTAAAAATATTCTGTATAATTCTGTGATATAAACAAAGTCATTCAGAGTGGTTTGATGTGGAACAGTTCATCTGCAGATAAAAACGTACTGGTTGGTGGTGATAGGAACCAGGGGTCTAGGTGTCTACAACACAAATATATCCATTTTATTTACTGTCCAAAACCACCAGTGAAGAATCTGAATTTTTTTTTTTACCTTGGGGACTATTTTGCCTTAAAACACCCTTCATGTATCCCTCCACCACGAATGGATGAAAACTTTATGAAACTTTATCACAAAAGTACTGTAAAACAGACATCAGGCAGTGTATTCATAACCATTTTATATTTCTGTGAGGGAGCTTTTAGAGGTGGACGTCTGGTTCCCATCACCACCACTGTGAACAGTTCTGACTCGGCAAGTTTCTCTGGAAGGAAGCATCCCTTACCAAACCGCTCCGAATGGCTTTGATTACGTCTCAACCATGTAATTATGCATGAACTTTGAAAAATCGTTGGAGTTCCCCTTTAGTCCCCGTCCTTAGCCGTGCTGGCGGCCGAACAAGCTGTACGGGAGAGAAGCAAGAAGCGCTAACAATAGGACCCGAGCCTCCTCCGCCGATGGGTGTGGCCAACATGGGCGACGTGACTGCGTCACTCTTTCGAGCGCGACGTCACCGCGCTCGGCCGAGCGACTGTGCAGGCTAGGCGAAGTAGCTAATTGGCTGCATAGTCGGTTGTGAAAGTGGAAAGTACCTCCTTGGAAATCCCCGTTGGCATTTCCTTGTTGACATCAATTCGAAGCCTTTTTTGACTAGATTAAGTCCTACATCAGTCCGTATGTGTGATTTTTTCTTCTGAACGCCCTATAATGCTCGCTGGCGGAAACAGCTCGGCTGTCTGAAGGCGCCATGGAGCACTAGGGGCTCCGCGGAGTGAAGTAACGTTAACGTTAAGCCAGCGAAGGCGGCGGAGTCGGAGCTTCTGTATGGGCTTTTGTTGCTGGATACCGACATATTGAGCAGGTAAGAGGAGAGCTGCCCACTTTCCCGTCTCCCTAACGCCTCATTTGTGTCCACATCGTTCTCCGGAGTGGACTAAATAAAGCTTAATCGACCCAAAACTGGTTGGTCTGGCTGGCTGGCTGGCTGGCTGGCAGCCGTTAGACTGAATCTGAATCTGAATTTGAATTCAACGGTTTTTTGACAGCCATTGTTTGCGAAGACGTCCCTTATTTACGGTCGTTTCTGGGGAAATCGAGGCAGAAGAGGCGTCGTTGGCGTAAATATCGCCGCTTTCGGTGTACATGGCAGCCTTTCATTGTCTGTGACAGTCTTATAAGCCCAATTACGTAATTGGAGCGTCAGGCTGCTGCTGCTGCTTTACTACGAGCAGAGCGGTCCCCATTGTTAGGAAGCTTCTGGTTCGAATTTCTCCGTTCCACCTTAAATGGTGCAGCAGTTACAGTCTGTCGCCTCACAATGCAGGCGGACAGAATGGAACTGCTGCACCATTTAAGGTGGAACGGGAAAATTCGAACAAGAAGCTGGCGAATGGGAAGACAACTTCAGCCTCGTCCTATTGTTGTTGTTGCCTGCGGGCTGTGACAGAAAACATACATGCAGACAAAACCAGCGCTTCATTTCGACATTATGACATTATGGTGATTTCTTTTTTAAGCCAGAAGAGTGAATGAAGGTGGGCAAGGGATGCGGGGGTCGTCTGCGTGAGGGATGCTATTTGAATAAGTTGTCCTCAGACAACCTCAGCCGAGGAGCCTAAATGATGCCCTTGTAAGTTAGCTTAGCATCCCGAGGCAGCTGGAAAATCACATCACGACTCGCGTCGTGCATGTAGACTGCAGACTGTAATGTGGCCCTTTTTTGACCACTTCGCTCCTCATGACCTCCAGGTAGTCGTTTCCCAACAGGATTTGGACGATGTCCACCACCATCAGGTGGCTTCTCGGGCCCACTTGTTATCTCCACTTCTGTGTAGGGAGCCTTCTTCGCTTCACTAGCTGTGTCTAGGTTGGCAGAATGGCTGTGTTCACATTTAAGTCATTCATTGTCGGTGTCCTTTCCCCCTCTCCCCCACAGAGATAAATCGGTTCCCCACTCCCTTTCTCGAGAACACAATGTCCCAAGGCCAGAACTTCCTGCCCAAGTTCCTGTTCGTCAGCAACCTCCTGAAGGCCGTGAAGATACGAGAGCGCGTGCCCAATGATGTGGTCAAGCCCTCGGCCAGCGGCCGCCTGCTCCATCACCTGCGGGGCATGCACCGCTACACGCTGGAGATGATCCGCATGAGCCAGTTCCCGCAGGCCTTCCGTGAGGTCATCCAGGCCGCCATCCTGGACCGGGCCATGCAGTCCTCCTTGGAGCAGGAGAAGAGGCTCAACTGGTGCCGAGAGGTCAAGAAGCTGGTGCCACTACGGACAAATGGTAATGCTTTGCTTTCTGCTTCTAGATTGTCTTGACTGTCTGATGGTGGCGGCTTTTGCTTTGGTTGTCTTTGTCAAACTTCTCCTGTTTACCCACTCTTAATGAATCATTGTTTTCAGAACTGCTCACATTTTGTAGCTGGAAGGCAATCCTTTGATTAAGCTGCATCTAAAAGTATGCGTTTGTAAGTGAAGTCTCACCTAGGGCTGAATGATTTGGGGAAAGTCCAACCATTACTGTTCCATAAATTAAGTTACAGGCCTCTTATTTGGCCTAAGAAGACCAAAATATCCACTTTTTTCTGTCTTAAGGCAGGTACATAGGACACGGGTGTTTTTGTTGCTTTTAACTGGTCTAAGTCTGTGTTCGAAACAACATACTACACCTATTACATTGTTAAATGCATTACAAATGGTGTTGTACCACTCTGACGTACTATTTAGTATAGTGGTATGCGGTTTTGGACTCGCTCATTCCCAAGATCCATGTTATTAGGTTCAGTTTCCCCAATTTGCAGCCCCTGCGGTTTAAAAATTTTTCTCTCTTTCCAATCGCAACTTTCGATACTAAAGCAATTAATATTTCAGTCGCACATCCTGTTTATGTAGGGCATAGACTAGAGGTGGGCGATATGGAAAAATAGAACGATACTTAAAGAGCGTTACAAAGTGCTTCACGATATTTAAGACATTTTTAGGCTTGATAAGTTGGTACAGACAAAGAACCAGAAGTGGCACATGTTAAAAATAATATCAAACTGTGAGTTAAAAAAAAATAGCAACCATTTTACTTACTGTACTGCACTAAAACCCATGACACCAGATTGCTTATGGTTTCCTTTTGACCCATTATAATCCCAGGCTTAATACATACTCAGGCTTATTATTCAGTAACTACAGAGTAGTTAGGTTAGGTTATAGAAGAGTGTAATAAAACTTGGGGCCTGCCGGTGGACCCTGGCCATGTAAGGGGTTGATAAAACATGCAGTCGGTGTTTTCGAAGCACTGACAATATCTACGAAATGCCCAGAAAAGCATATCATGACATAATTTATCATGATAGCGATAAATATCATTACATTGCCCAGCCCTAGTGTAGATCCTATGAGTACAGAGGCTGTCTTTGTTTGCCATTCATCAAACCTTTTCACCTCATGAAGGAATTACGTCCATTTATTGCCTATTAGGCCTAATTTTTTCCTTTTCTTTTCTCATGCTGAAGCCGGTCTGCTACGCTTAAGTTCTGTCTATGGTAAATTCTCTTCAGGACAGGACTGACTTGCTGAAGGTTCGAAAGAGATCACTTTGAAACTCATTGTAAGAATTGGGGCAAGATCAAAGAGTCAAATGTGGAGGAAAACTGTGTTATTCTTTCTTTTTCTTTTTTTAATGTCTACTGCATGAGCATATCAGACCTGCAGGGAAAATCCTGTACCGTCACATTGACGCCCCCCCCCCTTCTCCGCCCCGCATCTTTTTGGTGTGATTTGATTTTAAAGGGGCTTAGCTGATGCCCCGTTCACAGTCAGCTCTTTTATGAGTTGAACATTTCTGCTGTTAACCTGAGGTCAGGCTACGCTGCCTGCATAGGATGAGTAATTTTGCAAGAGGAAGCTTCTGTGTACTTGCCCTTTTTGCTCCATTGTACAGTCACAAATTTTACAGTAAGTCCAGCTGAACCAAAGTGTCATAAAAGGCTTGCGTATTACAGAAAGTCGCAAGTAGACGTAGGATTAAACGTATAATTTATGACTGAATAAGTTTCCTGTACTGCGGCCGCAGTGGCATTGTGTAGTGGCTTTGTATTGTTTTAATGTTGTACTGGTCCAAACTTGCTGAATTACTTACAGTTAAGGGCTCCTCTTATTACTAATTATTGACTTTCCTGGCAGCTGGCATTGGATCTTCTGTTTTAGGGGTGTCCTAGTTGTTTTTAAAGGGGGCCATGTCAAAATACTTGAGGGTCAGTCACTCCTTCCCAAAATATTATTCAGAAAATATTCACAATTTGAAAAATACAAGTGTGTAGAATTGTTAATATTTACTACTGAATTTGCTCCAATAAAGTCGAGAACAGCTGCTTTTTTTGTCTGCCGTCTAGCTCGCTGACTATAGCGTAAATCCCATTCTTTGTTTTAATAATATCTTTTGACATTAAGTTCTTTACAGCTTCAACATAAACAGCTCGTACATTTTCTGTGTCTCTCAAAGAAAAAGTATTCTGATCTCCATCTTGAAATTGCCAGGTCTCTTGCCCAACTTTGTGCTTTTAGGCTAAAAAAAGGCCAACATCATAGCAGCCCACCTGAAATCCATTCTAAGAAAAGCCACGGGCCAATTAAAGTCTTTCCTTGAGCTGCATTTGTCCCCCGGGGCCAGACTTTGGACGCCTCTGCTCTTCAGTATTTATGTTACTGGACCCAACACAGTTTCCTCTGTAATGATTCTGCAATTTGGTCTTTTGAAGTCATTTTGCGATGTGAAAGTGTTGGAATTCAATGTGCTGCTTTGAATGAAAGACTTCTCAGAACGGAGGCCATTGGCTGCTGATTACTAGAATTTGTCTCATCAGGTGACACTGAGACAAGGACGAACAGAGCAGGACAATCCGTGCCAGTGTCCGCGAAGCTGACTCATTTTATTTTGCATCCACGTCCTGTAGCTGTGACCGAAATGGTGATCCATGCTGATAAGGATGTGGTTGTGACCGAGGGTCTGGGTATTTCCGAAAAATCTGTTCCATGCGTTTCATATCAGCTTTTCAGCCCCCCCCCACCCTCCCCGGGCCGTTTAAAAAGTCAGTATGTTTTATAATTGATTGATTTTAAGCGTTTTTGGAGAGTGGAAAGTGTTTGGAATCAGTTGGAAGCATCGTTTTAGTGGCGATTGTATATTTTCCGTCAGTTCTTCATACGTGACACGTTGGTTTTCTAAGCTACAGGGTACAGTTCTAGTCATAAGTGCTTCGGCCTTTCAGGAACAAAGGAACCGTTCTGCTGTGCTCAGCTGTTAAAGAACCCAAGGTCCACTAGGGCCTGACCTTGTCTTACAACTGACAGTCAAATCAGTAAACCACACGTCTGTTTCATTTTTGACCACAATAAAGATTATCTGAAATTTAAGCTCTTTGAAATAGTCACAAAATGTTCATATCAGTCTGGCCCTTGTTTCCATTGAACCTGACTTATTTGGAAATCTGTTCTAATGAGGTCAGTGAAGCAACCCTAGTTCATGAGTGATATTCACCAGCTCGCCAACTGGAGTTTGACTAAAAAAAAACCCTTAGCTCCTCGCTTGGGTTGGCTGCAGGTGTAGACTCCATCATGGATTCGAAAAAAGAAACTGCAGAGCCGCCCGTGATGGTCTTGGAGATGTGGGCTGTTGGTAAAGCTAAGGTACAGACATTCCTGTAGCGCGAGGCTCCTCCTCTTTGGAAAGTCCAGCCACTCTGTAGCTCAGCCCTGCTGTCTCAAGAGCGGACCAGGGGAAGAAAAAGTTGAAGTACCGGCCTCACAGCACTTAATCAGAGAGAATCGCATACAAGGGAAATTCCTCCCTGTTGTGTTATAGTCTTGTTTTAGAGCAGCTTGTTACCAGGGCGCGCACGCGCTCACTCAAGTTGCACAACATCGAAAAAACCCTGGCCTTAAAATGGAATCTAGGGCTTAGCTTTTGTGCTGTTAACAGGGGTTTGGTGTTTTGCATGTTTAAACTGCCTGTAATGTGTGTAACCTGGTTTTAAACGTGGATTTTGATGTTTGAGCTGTGTCACTTTTTTGGTTTATTGTGTCAGTGTGTCTCTGTTATGTTGAACTTAAATAATAAGTTATATATAGATGAGCTATCTTTTAAAAAGTGTTGCTATTGGGCAAAAATGTGTGTTAAATTGGATATATAGGGTTTTAGTGTCGACTGATTTTTAAATACTTTTTTTAAACACTGTGAGGTCCAAAAGCCTTTACGCCACATTAAATTTCTTTTTTTTTCGGTAAAATTGGAAAATATTCAAGATTCTGCGCAATTTTTAGGTCACTATTCAAGTTTAAGCGATTTTATAATTAGGTCTTTGTACAAAAAGGTCAGTTTCTTCCATTGAAGCTTAAGGCTGTTGGGTGGATTTTATCTGCTCATCAGAAGCCAACTTGAGTTCACACTGTCATTAAAGCAAAAGGGGATTTACCAAGTAATAAAATTTATGAAGTTCATGTTAAAATTTCAGTTATTCCACTTTTTGCTCAAATTGTTATGCCATTAATACAATTTGTAATAAAAAATGCTGTTTTAAATTAGAAAAGAATTCAAAATGGAAACGTTTTCACTAGTGCGCTCAGACTTTTGGACCCTGCTATATGTTGTGTTTACCATTATGCTCTTGATGTTAGAATATAATAATTGCCTTTGCTTTTGTGGTGGTTTTCGACCGTCCCTTAGGTCTTTGTAATCAGTGCCATACTATCCTTCTTCAGCCCCATCCTGCAGTGTTTATGCAAAAACTCTAGTTACATCTGGGCAATATGTCGATATGTAACATTATTGTGATAAATTAAGTCACAATATGTCACAACATGCTTTTCTGAGTATATTGTGGAGATCATCACTACTTTTATACCTCATTTCATTAAAAAGAGAGCATAATTAGTCTATTGCAGTTGGAATAATATGAAATGTTGAATGTAAATCATTGTATTCATAGTTTTTGATAGTATTTTTTTAATGTGGCCCTGCTGCTGTATAGTGAAAACTTAAAAGTATTGTGATATCATATTCTTTCCCACTCTAATTGTAGTACAGTTGTGTTTGGTGGACTGTACACCCCATTTTTTACTGTTGGTAGCCAGACAGGTGACACTTCCGTACTTGTAGAAAGTCATATTTCCTCTTTTAAGAGATATATGACCCCATGTAATGGATACCTCTAAAGTGCTCTTACGGCTTGGTGGAAATTCCCTAGTTCGCTTTTTTTTTGTCTCGCCGCCTGACAAAACACCTTGCCGTTTGTCATCTCTTAGCGCCTCTGAAATCTTAGCAACAAAGCACAATATACATTAATGGCTGTTATGTCTCTTACAACTGCATGTCTGGTACCTTTCAATTGACTTTTCGCAACCTGTTTGCTCACAACCTGCTCTTTTGGGTTTTTTTAAAGGGGAAAAAAAAACACCCTTCTGAGCATGTGGAGGCGGCCTACAAAAAAAACAGCATTCAGAGCGCTACCGCAAGTCAGTTTGCAGTGCATAGACTCTACCGTGCCCTTTTTGCTGCCTTTGATTCTTATCAGATAAAGTCGAAGGGTGGACTGTGTTTTGGGGGTTTTTGTCAGGGTGTTAGTGGATTTGTGAGCATGGAGGGGTTTATAGTGACTGTCAGGTTCATGATTATGGAGGCCCTGAACCCCACAGTCATAGTGCCTTGTTGTTCTGGCAAAGGCTGGTGTTTGTTTAGGTTAAAGAGCCCATATCCTGCTTTGTTTTTCCCCTGTATTTTTTTTTCCCTCAAGGTCCATTTATAACATTTGTGTAGGTTTATGCACCAAAAACAGTTGTACTTCATTTTTACATGACCATTTTCCAACCACTCTTTTTCCCTTACTATTAATATAAATGGTGTCTGTTCTGAATCCCTGTATCATGCATCATTCAGACAAGTAGCTTGGGCTGAAACGCTCCTTTATAGCTTTAATTGCTTTAGCTAGTTAGGTTGATATGTCAATGTGTTGGTTTTCATGACATCTTGAACAGTTTGCACACAGAAAAACTCAGTTTTCCATGGTGTGGGCCTCATAACTGACCTAACTAATGCCATCCCACGTCTGACTGTAGATGCATGGCTGTATGTTTCACATATTCAGGCACTGAAGTATCTGTGTGACTCTGTTTTCTTCTAGGTGATGGGAACTGCCTGCTTCACGCAGCCTCACAGTACATGTTGGGAGTGCAGGACACTGACCTGGTCCTGCGGAAAGCCCTTTACGCCGTGCTCAAAGAGACAGACACTAGTAATTTTAGAGCACGCTTTCAAACAGAGCTGCTACACTCCCAGGAGTTCACCCAGACTGGCCTGCGCTACAGCACCAAGGTAGCTATGCGCTCTCTCACAATATATATAAAGCAGAGTGGCACCCTGCAAACCTATGAACTTTGAGCCGTAGTCAAGTTTTCCTTTTTACTCTCCTACAGTTTCAATGCAGAGTTTTGTCAGTGCTTTTCCTGGAGAATATTCCAGTAGTGCAGTTATGGATTAAGGATCAATGCCTTTTTTTATCGTTCCAGAACTGGGAAGAGGAATGGGAGAAGATAGTTGATATGGCGTCTCCTGTGTCCAGCAGTAATGGCCTACAGTTTGACTCACTGGAGGACATTCACATCTTTGTGCTGTCGAATATCCTGCGCAGGCCTATTATAGTCATTGCAGGTAGATTCTCCTCTCTTGGTGCGAATGAATTAAATGATTGATTTAAAAATGACTGATGTGCCCTTGGTCTGCTATTCACTGACTTCTGTCAATCCACAGCTCAAGTGCTGAGAAGTATGAAGTCAGGCTCCTCCTTCTCACCACTCAATGTTGGGGGCATTTACCTGCCTCTTCACTGGTCCCCAGGAGAGTGCTACAAGTATCCCATAGTCCTTGGCTATGACTCCCAGCACTTTGCCCCCCTCATCACTGTCAAAGACAGCGGTCCAGGTATAGCCCAGACATTGCTAACCCTTTCAGCCTAGTTTAGCTGACTGTATTTGCTTGGGTGATACTTTTATTTTTTAATAAAATTAACGTGATGTGCCCTCCTCCCTTCAGAGTTCCGAGCAGTACCCCTGATAAACCCTAGCAGGGCAGGCTTTGAGGAGCTGCGCATACACTTCCTGACTGAGAAGGAGCAGCAGCAGAAGGAGAGGCTGCTAAACGACTACCTGATGCTCATGGAGATCCCCGTCATCGGCCTGGGCTATGATCCCACACAGATCATCAGGGCAGCCCGGTATGAGACACTAGCTCCTCAAAACGAGTCACACACGTCTGCGGGAATCACTGGTGATTCCCACCTAGACTGTAGTTATATTTTGAGTCAACTTTTGCTTTATGAGTTGGACTGGAAATCTACCATTGTTCTGTTAACTCATGTCTACAAGAGGTTGAATGCATCACCACTTTGCAGAGGTTCCTAACCCTGGTCCTGGGGCTGGTCTAGCTAATCAGCTAGAGAACTGTTACTGGGTTGATGTGGGCGTGTTAGAGCAGAAGTGCATATGGGTGCGTTTACATTTGTAATTCGTTTCCCTTTGTCTGGACCAAAACAGGAAGTGATACATTGTTGCATTTTACTTCTGGTTTTCATCTAAAGTTTATTTTTTGGGGTAAAGAACACATTTATACATGAATTTAGGGAGTAGTTTCACTGAAAAAAACTAAAAAGTGCTTAAAATCTACAAGGTGCATGGAAACATGGCTATCGACATATTTGACATTTGATCCAAAAGTACTACGGATTAAAAAAAAAAAAAAGATTTTATAATGTACATTTGGCAATAATAACTGGGGTAATATCTGTCTAATTTCACCTATCTCGTGATGTTCTTAAACAATATGCCACAAGAGGCCGTGTGTTACCATGGTTTTTCCATGGCACAAAACACTGAAATTGCTGTGAAGACATACAGCCTTAGACTAGCTCTTTCCTTTTATATAATTTTGAAAACTTGCCACCTTAATATATAATGTAATTGATGTGTAGAGCCATATGTATATATTTCAAACACTTTTTAAAATGCTTCAAATGTGGCCCAGCCTTGTTTTGAAAATGAAACTGTGTTCTGAGCACATGAAAGATTTCAAATTTGGCTCACTGATTTTAGTTTGCATGGTAGCAATCACAGCAAAGTTAGTTTTAATCAAACTAAACCTGCCAACCTGCCTTTAAATGCATGGCAAGGGTACTCCAGAACCAGGGTTGGGAACCATTGATTCAGTGTGATTAAAAATGTGCTTAATTTTCAATTTTGCCTGGTCTCTCCATCCAGACTCGACGAAGGAAACCTGCCTGAGGACATGAATCTAATGGAGGACTACCTGCAGCTGGTCAACCACGAGTACAAGCGCTGGCAGGAGGACAAAGAGTCTCTCTGGGCTCCACAGTCACAGCGGCCACCCCCATTCTCCGTCTCCCAGCTCTCCCTCATAGAGATCCGCTGTGCCACGCCTCGCTGCACCTTCTATGTCTCGGTGGACACGCAGCCGCACTGCCATGAGTGCTTCGAGAAGCGGCAGGCCGGCAGAAAGCTGGAGGCCGTGGCCAACCATGCCAATTCATCCTCAGAGCCCGAAGGCCGCGGGAGGTCAGGCACTTCGGACCGGTCTGTGATACCCAGTCCTCGCTCGGCCCCGCCCCCGACAGCCCCCAGCCTGAGCCTCTACAGCGAGACCCATGCCATGAAGTGCAAGATGCCCGGCTGCCTGTTCACGCTCAGCGTGGAGCACGACGGCCTGTGCGAACGCTGCTTCGCTGCCCGCCAGAGCCGGCTGGCCGGCAACGGGCCGCCTCAAGGACCTTCCCACCATGGCTGGGGCCACACCCAGTGGGGGGCAATGGGTGGCCGAGAGCGAGAAAAGGAGAGAGAACGAGAGAGGGAGAGGAATACTGAGCGCTGCAGTGCGTGCCGACAGGAGACCTTTCGGACTTTCAACGGCCTCTGCACACCCTGCATGCAGAGGGCCGCTGTCTCGGAGCGGAGTGACCCTCAGCAGCCAGAGCCAAGGATCGAGGGCTCGGTGTGGACGCCAGTGAGGGAGCCGGAGCGCTCCGGCACCACAGGCCACACCTGGCAGACACAGGCGGCGCGGCCATGCAAGCGTTCAGGCTGCCAGTTCTTCGGGACGCCGGAGAAGCTGGGATTCTGCACCATATGTTACGTGGACTATCAGACCAATCACCGTAAGTGGAACCAGAGCAGTGCACCCAAGCATGTTAACAGGGCTAACAATGAATTAAAGCTAGCAGCAAGATCTTTTTTCTTGCCGTCCAGCCACTGCTGTCTTTTATTTGTTTTAACTGCATTAACATGAACAGTATACTCTCACTTAAACACTACGTGAAGGCAAACGCAGTAAGACAGACAGAATTATTTATGTACTAAATGCCAGATCCATTTACCTGGTGGTGACAGCAGCCGTACAGTTTTCATTCCAAAACATTAACGTTCATTCTGTACCACTTCAAGCAGCATTTTGTGAAAGATTATAGCCATTGTAGTGACCACAGCACCCCACAATACTTTCCATAAAACAGAAACCGCAGAAAAGCCTGTGGTGGTATGTAGCAGGTTTCATTATAAGTTGTAACAAAGGGGCATTGGCTAGTACTGAAACAAAAAGCTGATTGTGGCAATGTTATAATTTTGATTAGATATGTGGTTGAAGTTGTGACTGGTTGTTCATGCAGAGGCAGCTCCCGCGGTGGTGCAGCCCAGACACACATCGGAAGCAGGCTTCCAGAACCTCTGGTGCCGGGGCCAGGGCTGTGGCGCAGTGGGAAAGGCCATGCTGGAGGGCTACTGCAACAAGTGCTATGTGAAGGAGCAAAGTACCAGATTCACCCAAGCTGCTAGCAGAGGCTCTAGTTCCCCTCCTCTAGTAATGGTGAGTTTTTGGCATGACTTAAAGCTCGACCAAAAAAGGTGCGAGTTGTAAAGCAGAAGTATTTTGCTGCTGTCGGAACAAAACCTTGTATCTCCAAAATGTTAACTGACTTCATTTTTAATGTAAGTCAGTGGAACCAGACTTTTTGTCCAAGTAATTTTGGACCGTTTCTTTTGATCCGTTCATCATGAAATTTACACACAATGTAAAGAGCAACAGGCAATTTCAAATCATGTCAAAAACTGAAAGATGTCATAAATAGAGCTGAGGTTTTGTTCCGACGATTTATTTTTGTAGAATGTACAGTTGTAAGTTAAATTTAGGGTGAATGAAATGTTTTGTTGACTTTTTAAATTAGCTGAAACATGAAATGTGGCCTGTGCCGAAGTTATATTTTATTCCAATATGTTAAATTCATCAAAAAACACTGAAAATGCACTGAAATCAGCAGAAAAAGGCCATATGTAAGTTTGTTCCCTGTGGATGATGTGTTAACCTATTCTCACTTACAAAATCAACAAGACATGTAGTGTATTTAAACGTTTGCATACAATCCGGTATGTAGTTTAAAGCCATTGTTTAAAGACAATTTCCCAGCGTCAGTGGTCTTCAAATTCCCCTGCCTTGCACATTTTAGGGCTTTCCCTGCCCTTACACACCCACTGTATACTTGTTAATTACATTACATGAGTCAGATGTGTTCAGGGAAATCACTAAAATGTGCAAGAGCAGGATTGAGGAGCTAATTTAAGACGTGGTAGTTTAGATGCCTTGTGGCTGTTATGAATGATAAAATGTTTTTACCTGATTAGATGTGAACAATTGACTATATTTCTGTGTTTTTCTCCCCGACAGCGGGCCTCCAAACCACGCCCTCCACCGACGCTCAGCCAAGCCCAGTGCCGGCGCAGCGGCTGTAAGAACCTGTCGCCCGGCTGCACCGACCTGTGCCCGGACTGCCTGAGCCGCGGGCAGCGCGAGGGCCGGCGTGCTCAGGCGCCCAAAGAGAAGAGCAAGCAGCGCTGCAGGACGCAGGGCTGCGACCACTACGCCAACCAGGAGAAGCAAGGCTACTGCAACGAGTGCGACCACTTCAAGCAGATCTACCGAGGCTGACTGATTTTTTTTTTTTTTTCTGTCCAAATACAAGAGGACTAGAACCTCGCACGTCGAGGTGCGCAAATACGTCATAAAAGAAATCCTGTGGCTGACCCGCCCACGCGTTCTCGGACGGGGCTGACGAGCCAGCCGGTGCTGTAGAACTGGCGATTACCTCTCAAGCAAAGTTTTGATCATTTTGTATCATGTGTATAGGACCGAGGTCGGGGCTTGTTGACGTGACGAAACTGATGATACACTGGCATCCAGTCGCATACATCTGTGGTATCTGTGATTTATATCGAACAGGGTAATAGATTGTAAAAGATTTATACATTGCCAACAAATTTGTGGGAAAGCGACTTCAAAGGATTCTTGATTTCTTTTTTTTTTTTTCCTGATTGTGAGTTGACAACGCAGCAAAATTTGACCAAAGTTACTTAAAGAATGATAATGACCAAGCCAATGTACATCGCCACTGTGGACTGCAAGATAGCCAGTGGGGCCTGTAGAAAATACAGGATGAAAGAGCTACAGGGTTTCCGAGGCCTCAGAAAGATAAGCATTTGGTAGTTTATTTCATACTCTGTAGGTTAAGTGCCAATGAGAGTTTGCAAAGAAGTGCTCCAGTTTTATTTCCTGCTGCATCATTTGATGTCTGCCGGCAGTACGGACCTGTTGCCTTTTGAGATTGATTTGTTTTTTTGTTTTTTTTTCTGGTCATCGTTGATCACTTTTTCGTGTCCTGCTCACTCTTGAAATGATTATTCACCTGATTTTGCCTTGCTAGACTTCGTTCAGTATCTTTTTTACTGGCTATGACGCTGGACCTTGTTGGATACGTTCTAACATTGTTGCGTAGCTTAAAAAAACGAAAGAAAATTCCGAAGTGCAATAAAACAGGTTTTCCACCACACCTCCTTAAAACGGCGGCATGTGATCGCTCACATACGAAGTCGAAATGAAGCTGAAGGGAAATGCCACACCAAAAAAACAAAACAAAACATGAGAGATATCGATAAAGAGGAACCATACGTGAAGTGAAATCCCTGTCAGGATTGACGTCGTGTTTGAAGAAGAAGTAAAAAAAACGAAACGGTGACCCGAAGGTAAACGCACCTCTGTGTTGTGCACACCCTCTTTTAGATCTGTGAATACCCAGTCTGCTTTTTTTTTTGTTTTGTTTTTTATTTCTGCAAGGGTGCTTCATTCCCTTGGCTGTACTTCTCTGCTACATTCACACAATGCCTCTATTGCGTACGTTCGGTATGCAAAACCGTGTCTATTTGACTATGGATTGCGCAGTAGACAGGAGCATGGAAAAGCGGTTGGCTACTGCGGCTTTGCCGAGAAAAGAACATCTGTGTAATACATTCCCATTCCTGACGTCTAATATTGTGGTAACACATATAACCTGTGGTGACATATGAGAAATAGAACCCTGTGGGCCCATACGCAGACATGTGCTTTAGTCCAATGACGCATTCAAGAACCGTTTGCAGTCGGATCGTGAGTAGGAGTGTCTGCTTTTCTACTACTGGTTCTGAATTCAGTTCAGATGATCACAGATTTGCACAATACTTAATAAGCTGCTCTGGAATTAGTTGAGGTACTTCTCACTTCTCAAATAGTGACATTCCAACTATAGACTTAGAGAACGAAATACGAATTTGTGCAAACTTTCATATAGAGTATTGTATGATTTTCTTTTCCTTTTTTTGTTGGGATTGGGAGGGGAAGTTGTTTGGTATTTATTCACAACAAACATTATCTGTATTGTGTTTGAAAAAATATTTATATGTTGTACTGAAATAAATTATTTTTAATAGGAAAAGTTAAATTGCCTTCCTGTCTGTCTTCACATACTGAAGTGTTAATGGTGTACACTTACTGGCCACTTTATTGAAAACCCATAATAAAGTGGCCAGTAGATCCACTGTGCTGGTGTACATTTAGGCCCAATCCCGTTTCACCCCTCGTCCCTACCACTCAGCCCTTAGCCCTCTGTTTTGGGCGTTCACGTCTAGGGGTAGGGTGTCCTGATTCTTGTTGAGATAGAGGGGGGGGGGCGAAGTGTTCGGGCTACGTGATCCTCCAAACTGAGGTTTTTCAGAGACTCCAAACAGAGAGTTATGAGAAAAAAGAAAAACCGGTAAGATGGCTGAACAAGAGACCAAAGAAACCCACAAATGTGAGAATTTTCTCTGTTAAAAATCACAATAATCACTGTTTTATCTTAATTAATGGCGTTTCAATGTATTATGGTCATTTTCTTCATAACAAGCATAAATCACTAATAGCATGCTAATGTCTCTGTAGCTAGCTAGCTAACTTTCCCATTCCACCTTAAATAGTCCAGCATTTCTGACGCCTGAAGCGCCAGAATGTAACTGCTGCTCCATTTAAGGTGGAACGGGAAAATTCAAACAAGAAGCTGGTGAATATCTGACTTCAGCTTCATATCACGCCCCCCTCTTTGAAGGCATATGATGCCCTACATGTAACTAAAGCCCAGCAGTGAGGAGCTGAACTTTACCCTCCTCTGCTGTCACTGCAGACTGGCAGGGTCGCCTACAGAGCAGCGCTGGTAGCTGTTAATGAAGTAATGTTCTTTTTATTTGAGGGTCCCATTTCATAGAGGAAGATTTCAACTCAGTTCCAAGGGGTTAGGGTGACACTCGAAAACAAGGGATAGGGGGAAAAGGAAGAAATGGGATTGGGCCTATTATTGGGTCTGTTGCTCATGTTGCAAAGTTTCTGTTTCCCATTCTTTAACCCTCTGTCCTGTGGTCAGAAACTGCCCGGGTTTGAATGAAGCAAAGTAATGATAAAGTCTTTAATTGTACACCTATCTGGGGTCGGCAACATGTGGCTCCAGAGCTGCATCTGGCTCCTTCACAGTAAAATACAGCTCTGCTGATCGTTCTAATACAGTTTTAACAATAGATGGTCTTAAACGCTGGAGTTAATGTAGAACTGCTAATTCAGCCTTTAACCCTGAAGGTTGGTATGCAGACTGCTGGTCACCATAGCAACACAGATAATGGTCTCGCCTAGCTTGTAGCTAACAAAAAGGCAAAGAGAAATTTAGGACAAACATCAATAATTTGGAGATGAATTAACTTATTTGCAGTTATAATCACTCCAGCTGGTTTCTGATGTTTATAATCTGCAGCAAAAAACTGTCAAAAACTGAAGTTGCAAGGCTGAAGTCAGCTTGTCGATCACCAGCTTCTTGTTTGAATTTTCCCGTTCCACCTTAAATGGTGCAGCAGGTAACGGGAAAATTCAAACAAGAAGCTGGTGAATGAGAAGCGACTTCAGCCTTGTAAGACATTGAATGTTGTGAGACATTTTACAAGAAACTACTCCACTTTTGTGGAAAAGTTTCCTGCTGGAGATGCGAGAAAAGCAGTTGTAGTAAGTCTGCAATGTTGTTTATATTATATTTTTAGCCTGTACTAGAACATCAGCACTTACTGAGACATATTTACAGCCAAGATGATGAAATGGATATAAAATGTTGTGGCTCTAAAGTTGGTTTGATTTTTGTTGACAGGACAAAATGGCTCTTCTTAACATTTGGGTGGTCCTTATGAAGACTCCAGTGAGTGGAAGGTAAGTATTTCTAATGCAGTATATGTTAGTAAAGTGTAGCTATAATAAATGGTGTATATAGTACTAATGCTTCATATTTATATAGTAAGGGCTGTCAATAATTGAAACTAGGCACCCAGTTGCAGCCTATCAGAATAAATGGGCGGAGTGGTGGGAGGGGCTTATGCATATTTTCCTGAAGTCACTTTTAGTAGGTGCGTTTTTTATGGTTTCTTTTTGTAAGATTGCCACACAGCAGCTCACACTTTCAAAAGGAAAAGTATAAATTGAGTAAGTCATATGGATCACTCTACTGAGTTAGTTCAAACTTTGGTTCCGCTGTAAAAAAAAATAAAAAAATGAAAAATAAAAATATATGTGGCGGCACGGTGGCGCAGTGGGTAGCGCTGTCACCTCACAGCAAGAATGGCCTGGGTTCGATTCCCGGCCGGGCGACCAGGGTCGTTTCTGTGTGGAGTTTGCCTGTTCTCCCCGTGTCTGCGTGGGTTTCCTCCCACAGTCCAAAAACATGTAGTCAGGCTGATTGGACTTGCTAAATTGCCCCTAGGTGTGAGTGTGTATGTCTGTCTGTCTGCCCTGCGATGGACTGGTGACCTGTCCAGGGTGTATCCTGCCTTCCGCCCAATGACAGCTGGGATAGGCTCCAGCACCCCACCGCGACCCAGAAGGATAAGCGGTTTAGATGATGGATGGATGGATGGATGAAAAATATATGTACAAGGATTATGTTATGATCTGTTTAGCCCTGAGGTTAAAGCTAAATGCACACAATCAATTAGGGAACTTTCTATTGGGAGGTGTCTGTCCCAAACCCTAACCTGTCTTGTGGTGTTCCTCAGGGGTCAGTTCTTGGCCCTTTGCTCTTTATATTGTACATGCTCCCCCTTGGTGACATCATCAGGCGACATGGATTGCAGTTTCATTGTTTTGCGGACGATGTGCAGATCTATATATATACTAAACCATCTCACAGTTTACCACCCTCGGTGCTGATTAATTGTTTAGCTGATGTTAGGACATGGATGACTGAGAACTTCCTGAGTCTGAATAGTAATAAGTCGGAGGCCGTATTAATTGCCTCTCCAGCTACAATTAAAAAGATAAGCAGCACTGCTGTCTCTGTTCCTGGTTATATTGTCTCTTCTTCGACCCAGATTAGAAATTTGGGAGTGATTTTTGACTCCACTCTGTCTTTTGAACCCCATATCAAGAACACTTGTAAGGTAGCCTTTTTCCATTTGAAGAGCATTGCTAGGATCCGCCCTTTTCTCTCTTTTTCTGCTGCTGAGACTGTTATCCATGCTTTTGTAACATCTAGAAGTGACTACTGCAATGCTGTGCTACATGGACTCCCTGCTCGGGTTCTGAATAGGCTGCAGTATGTGCAAAATTCAGCTGCTAGTGTTTTAACACACACAAGATCCTGGGAGCACATCAGTCTCTGAAACAGCTTCATTGGCTCCCAGTACAGTATCACGTTCGATGCAAATTGTTTGTGCTGGTTTTTAAATCTTTGAATGGCCACGCCCCCTCCTACCTTGGTAGTCTGCTTCAGTTATACTCTCCAGCTCGCACTCTTCGCTCCTCTGATTCACGTTTCCTCCCTCTAAGCTGCGTACTGTTGGTGACAGGGCATTTAGTGTTGCTGGCCCCAAGCTGTGGAACAGTCTCCCCTCTGAGTTGCGTGCTTGTTCGACCCTGGCTATGTTCAAAGCTAGTCTTAAAACCCACTTTTTCCAGATGGCTTTTGGGTGAATAATCTTTGTTATTTGTGTTGTACGGCATCCTTGGGTGTTTTGAAAGGCGCTTATAAAATAAAATTTTATTATTATTATAACCCCTTAGGGCGGCACGGTGGTGCAGTGGGTAGCGCTGTCGCCTCACAGCAAAAAGGGCCTGGGTTCGATTCCCGGCTGGGTGGCCAGGGTCATTTCTGTGTGGAGTTTGCCTGTTCTCCCCGTGTCTGCGTGGGTTTCCTCCCACAGTCCAAAAACATGCAGTCAGGCTGATTGGACGTGCTAAAATTGCCCCTAGGTGTGAATGTGTGTGTGTCTGTCTGTCTGCCCTGCGATGGACTGGTGACCTGTCCAGGGTGTATCCTGCCTTCTGCCCAGTGACAGCTGGGATAGGCTCCAGCACCCGACCCAGAAGGATAAGTGGTTTAGATGTTGTATGTATAACCCCTTAACTTATTTGTGAAAATAATACTTTATTAATACTTAAACTGTTACTTATTTTTTAAGGTTTATTTAAAAATATCGTTTTTAATTTTTTTTAAAGTGAGGTTGAAATATTTACAGTAATCATGAGTTTAATTCTTTGAATAAAAAAACATTTCATGCCACTACTTAAACAAAGAGTTTTAGTCTGTAGGCGGAGCCCTATTTTAGCCACGCCCCTGCATTTTAGAGCAGCAAGTGAGGCTGCATCTCTGTCCCTCATGGCCACATGGTGAGCAGTTGG